GCTGAACATTCTACAGGCAACCCATTATCTCCCAATATGTGAACTTATCATTCAAGTGTGAATAAAAAAAGAGAAGCAGATGCTTTGAATCTGACTTAGTCGTCTGTTTCCACTGTTTTTGGATGAAACAGTGATTTCAATGCAGATGGGTTTTGTATTTCTCACACTGGGTTTCACAACATGCATCGGCCTGTGGTTGGGTGATTACAGGACGGATTTTACGTTAGTATTTGTCCTTTTTTTAAAAAAATCATTTTAGTCCATGGAAATCTTGGGTGTTAAGGATCAGATGATAGAAGCTGCGTTGGTTTTTTGCAGTTAACATAATATTTTTCGGTGCGAGCAGAACATGGGAACCGGTGCTGCAGCAAAGTGATGTGCTAGCACAGGGTAATGAACAAGGAGTAAAAAAGTATACTCAAAATTCAGAATGGCAATCAGTGACAGTGATTTGAAGAAGGCCGTTGACATACTAATTTTTATTATCACCAGGAATATCTCTTCCATCGTGTAGAGGTGCACAAAGTTCTGAGAGGCCTGGACAGGGTAGAGAGGGAGAAAGATTATCCCAACTAGAGAACCAAGTGTCTTTGTTTTAAGGTACAGGTTTAAAGACAAAGAGCAGGATGTTTAGAGGAGATTTGAGGAAGGAAAAAAAGACAGCTGGAGGGTATTTGGAACTCACTGGTTACAAAGCTGGCAGAAGTAGAAGCCCTCAAGACTTTTAAGAATTATATAGATGAAATGCCATGGCAGGCAAGGCTATGGGCTGTGTGCTGGAGAATGGGATTAGAATGGATGGATGTTTGATGAACAGTGCAGACATGATGGGCAGAAAGGTTCTCTACACACTGTAAAAACTCAATGACTCCTGTGAGGTGACCCAATCATTCCAGCTTAAACCCAAAGAGGAACACAAATTTTTGCTGGGGCTTTGGCATTGATAGTGCACACATTTATCCTCCAGTTGGCATCTCTTGAGTAGAAGGGTTTAGCAGAGCGCTTTGGCTGCTTTCTGTTGCTCTGTGGTGTCACAGCGGATTCTCTGAAATTATGTATCACTGTAATGGGCCATGTCTTGTTGAGGCAGGCTCAAAGGGCATGACTGAGCCCTCTCTTATGTTAAGCTGGTTGTAGAATGGTCAGAAAAGATTGACAGGACATTGCCAGGGTTGGAGGGTTTGAGCTATAGGAAAAGAGTGAGTAGGCTGGGGCTATTTTTCCTGGAGCATCAGAGGTTGAGGGGTGACCTTATAGAGGTTTATAAAATCTTGAGGGGCATTGATAGGGTGAATAGCCAAGGTCTTTTCCCCAGGGGTGGAGGAGTCCAAAACTAGATGGCATAAGTTTAAGGTGAGAGGGAAAAGATTTAAAAGGGACCTAAGGGGCAACGTTTTCATGCAGAGGGTGATGTGTGTATGGGATTAACTGCCAGAGGAAGCAGTGGAGGCTGGTACAATTACAACATTTAAAAGGCATGTGTATACTGAAAGGAACGGTTTAGAGGGATATGGGCCAAATGCTAGTAAATGGGACTAGATTAATTTAGGATATCTGGCATGGACGAATTGGATCTAAGGGTTTGTTTCCATGATGTACATATCTATGACTCTGACTCAAAGTAGTAGACCCTACCCACCATGAGACAGGCCTCTCTAATTTCATTTTTCATACTCTCTGTTTTTTTTTGGATTGTTTTTTTAAAAATCTGTTTCAATTGAGATCCTTAAGGTCTAAGTGATGGTGAGTTTGTGCTTAGAAGCTAATCATTTCAATCACCTAAAATTTCAATCAACTGTAATTTACACTCTCTTGCAACATAAGATCCAGCAGTTTTCCTTCCCTGATTGCTGACAATAAAATAAGGTAAATGATGATTACATCATCTCACATCTGGATGTGGATAGCTTACAGGCAAGTTGGGTCATCTTCAGTCCAAACGGTAGAACATTGCAAATCCTTAGCAAGTGTGAAACATGACAGATGACCTTCACAGCTAATTGCTTATGCAGGCACCAAGTTTCAGGTGTACAAGTACAACAAAGAAAGTCACGATGTAATGGACTTGTCTTTGTTTTTAACAGTCCATAATAAGTCCATAAGAAATAGGAACAGGGGTAGGCCATTCGGCCTCTCGAGGCTGCTGTACTATTCAATAGGATCATGGCTGATCTGACATTCCTCACATCCACTTTCCTGCCCTTTCCCCATAATGCTTGATTCCTTGACTGACCAAGAACGTATAAATCTTAGCTTTGAATATACACAAGGACTCTCTGTGGCAGGGAGTTCCAAATACTTAAACCTCTGAGGGAGGAATTTATCCTTATCTCAGTCTTAAATTGGCACCCCTTTATTCTGAGAGTATGCCCTCTGATCCTAGACTCTCCCATGAGGGAAAACACCCTCTCAGCATTTATCCGGTTAAGCCCCTCAAGAATCCTGTATGTTTCAGTGAGATCAGCTCTCATTCTTCCAAACTGCAGTGAGTAGAGTCCCAACCTGGTTAGACTTTACTCATAAGACAATCCCTCCATTCCAGGGATCATCCAAGTGAACCTTCTCTGACAAAATAATATCTTTCCTTTAATAAGGCAACCAAAACTGCTCCCCAATGAGTTTTCCCCCTCTCTGGATCCATGATGACTTCTGAGAGTCCATTCCCTTCCTCACCAAGTTGTTCCACTCAAGTAACTATTCTTGATTTACAAGGAGTACAGTGAGAGTCACTAGCTTATTCAATCATACCATTTGTCTCCTCGCCCAATGTCACACTTCTTTGGCTTTCAACAATAACCAGTAACCTTGACCACTTTTCATCAGAACTGTAGTGGTAAGGTGTTTAATGTACAACATCCAACTCAGCTCCATAAGTAAGAGAATAGCTAAGAATCACTCAAACGATTATTTTTAATTCCACCTCCGTGTTCAGGACATTTTCTATAGTGACATTACTGTCTCGGGAATCATCGGTTAAACTGATCTTGTCACTGATGCCCAGATCTCATGTACAAATGAAAGAAATGCACATTCTTGTTATTGCAACCATTGTACCTCTGTGACTTTCTCCATCTGGTATCTCATTCAACATTCTAAAGAACAGCTTAAAGGGGGTTGGGGGTGGGGAGTATTTAGAGAAGCAAAGTGGTTTAAGGAGGAGCTTAAGGTCCAAGATCTCTGAGTGCATGGCTATAAATGACAGAGCAGTTCAAATTGGGAAATGCTCAAGAGGTTGGAATTGGAGGAGTGCAGAAGTTTCAAAGGGATGCAGGGGTACAGGAGGTTGCAGAGAAAGTGAGGAGTAAGGCCATTACTTTGCACGTTATGATGTCCAGTTTTCTCACTGAGAAATGATGTATGTGGCAGCTGCAGCTGAGAGAGGTAGGGGGAGAAATTTACTTGTTTTACCTGCAGGGATCTTTCCTACAAGGAAGTACACACACCTCTCTCCTGTTTATTTAAAGTTCACACTTTCAGCTGGGCTGTGTTTTCTCTACGCTCTGTCACTCATTGCCGCCCGTTTGCTTTTCCCCAAAACATTGTTTGTTTTAACTATCCTTTGTGCAGCAACTGGAGAAATTGTTTAAATAATTTGCCTAAGCTGCTGCTGTTCTGGTGCAGAAAGGCAGTGTGAGTCCAAGGAGAGAAGCCAGGCTGTAGGGCATGTGTTAAAACACACACACACACAAAAAAAAGAAGGATTTAACATGATTATGGATGGGCTGTTACTTCTGGTTTATTTTTTAATGCAAAAAAATGCAACCACAGGTCTAGGAATTTAAACTTTGAAGAGAATTCTGTGACAATGAATGGAAGAGGCCATTATGTATCTAACTGCTATTAGTGGCAAGCATTTTGAAAGAGAGAGAAGACAATTGAATTTTGAGGGACCGTGGCCAGTTTTGTTAGACGTTATTAAGTCCGCCTCAGACTGAAAGCCGCCCCTTTCTCTCTCTCTCTCTTTCTCTTCCCCCTGAGTTTAATGGCAGGGTTTGGCAGGCAACCTACTGTGAAGCTGATTGATGCCCTGAACATCTGAGGGGCTTTTTGTGTTCAGCTGCTCACTATGAGGGGCCTAAATGTGTGAATACTTAAATAAGGTCAGACCTTATCACATGTAATCCGTGCCTGAGAGAAAATCAGCAGTGACAAGCAGCCCTGCATAGCAAGCAGCACCAGTGAGAGAGAACATCATTTGTACCGGTGCTCCAGGCAAGTCACAGAATTTCTGTCTTTCTCCTCTTTCCTTCCCTGCTTTAACTCTCTCTCTCTCCCTCCCCCATTCCCTCTTTCCTTCTCTCTTATATACTTCCCCTCTCATTTTCTGTTTCTCTCTTGTCTCTCTTTCTCTCATTCCTTTCCTCCCTTTACCCTGTCTTCTCTCCTTCCTTTCCCTCCTTCCCTCCCCCCACTCGTTTTCCTCTTCTATTCCCTTTCTAAGTCCCTTCCTCCCTTTCCTACCTTTCCTCTTTCTCTCCCTTGTGCTCTCCACCCTTTCCCTCCTTCCCTACCCCTCTCCATTCTCCCTTCCCTCTCCTTTTCCTGTCTTATCCTATGTTCCTCCTGCTCGTTCCCCCTGCCACTCTTCCCGTCCCTCCCTCCCTCCCTCCCTGCGCTCCTTTCTTCCCTCATTTCCCCTCCTGCACTCCCTGCAAATCCTCTATGCCCCCATTCCCCCTTTGTCTATACTCCCACACTGTATTCCCCTCCTCCCTTTCCTAGCCCTCCCTCCGTCCCGCTTTATTCCACCTTTTATTTGTCTTGACATCAACTTGGCGGCATTTGGAGAGCAGAGGGAAAGGCTGATGGGCTAATCAAAGCGCAGGGACTGTTTTGTTTGTAACAACGTAATAGAGTTTTTCAGTGGGAGGTTCACTCAGATTTATCTTGGAGGACAAAACCATGGGTGACCTGGAATCTCTTAGCAGGACTGGAGTGGAGTGGGAACTTTACTGCTTTTGGACTTTTAAAAAAGTTTTGCCTTTGCTGTAGCTGACAGCTTCAAGGCACCTCATTGAATTGGATTCTGCTCAAGCTTCTCTCTGCCCCACAGGTCAACTCATGAAATGCCACTGAGGTTGGGGGTGGAGGGGAGAGACTTGGTTTCATCTAAGAATGGTGCAGTCCATATTCCTGTCAGCGTAATCCATTCCTGTGTCAGATCCTAGGTGCCCTTTCTCTTGTCCTCACCCTGAGGTGACCAACTGAGTTCTAACTGGTGACAGAGCCAGTTTATAACAGCCCTGTCTTTCACATTCCCACCACAGGCCTGTCACAGAGCTGGAAAAACTGTTTAACTGAACTGAACTACAACACTGAAACTAGCTAAAGGGAAGCAGGAGGAACTCACTACCCAGGGTCTCCGTGTTCAAAGGTGATGGTTTGGCTTGCAAATCCAAGTTGGCAGATTCCTGTTTCGATGCTCGTGCTGTTATCCCTACAGATTGAAGGTAAGCTAATACAACAGTCATACTCCAATAGTGAAGTTGCAGCATTTTGTTTCCAGGCTGTTTTGCTGTTTGATCATTCTGAGATTTCAATAGCAATGTCCACGTTCTCCTGGCATAGAAAAGCTACCCTCAGTTTTATTGTGAATCGTTCATTTTTGATGGTTTTCAGGTTAATTTAATCAATCTTACGAAATTATTTTCCATCAGATATTGTACAATTCACTTTTACTAGACTGGGGTTTTAAACTTCTTCCAACACAACAGCGAAAGCAAACACTTAAAAGGCAAGTGTTCTAGTAAATCTCATGAATGATTGTTCATTTGGTTCTGTTTCTGGGTGTCTTTGCCATTTTCCTTTCAAATGAATACTGAACGTGGCTATGTTCAAGATGTAACGAAGAACTGATATGCAAGTGAAAGCAAAAACCTATGTTGCTCACAGTGTCTCTTTTAATCATTTTTTTTTTCCTCAGCAGGAGAGTTTGTGTTTGTAAAAAGGCACAATAAAACCTGGCACTAGTCTTAAAATAATACCTGGACACAGTAAAGGGAGCATCAATGTCTAGTAAAAGTATTTTGTGCGGCATGGATTGTATTGGTATCTGACATGTCGAAGTCTCTAGTTCCGTTAAATAGTGACTGGTGCAGTTTGACTCACTGTATTGTTTTTCTATTTTTGTCTAAAATTGAACTGCATCTTGCTGTACAATGCGTCACACTGGTGTGCCTTGCTGAGTGATATGCTGTAGACTGTGCAATCTTATCACAGTCACTGTGATGGTGAAAGCAAGCAATTAGGCTGCAAGCACTTTGGAATGGGTCATTTGTAGATTGCAATCCAGATTTTGGCTGAGTTCTGTGTTGTTTTCATTTTGCAATGTGCAGAATGTAGGATTATAATAACTATGCACATCAATGGCAACATCTGTGTGTGATGATACCAATTGTTTGAGTTGACAGTCCATGCTGTATCTATTGAAATAAAAATTAAACTGTATTTCCAGACTGTGAGGCAGATCATCAATATATTCATATGATATGCAAAACGATTTTTCACATGGTGAGTGCCAGATCTCAGGGGAACTCGCTGACGAGGGAACGTGGATTCCTGGTGGGATGGCAAGGAGGAAATGATTCCAGAGTGGTGGAAAAGATTTCACAGATCCTCAGCAAGGGGAAGTTGCTCCAGTTAAGCTCTTCCTTCAGTTGCTAACTGTGCTGATTTTCCATAGCAACTTGCTGCTGGGTTTGAATTAGACTGTGTGCTCTGTCACAAGATAACAACTGCTCTTAAAAATCCACGAAAGGGAGTAGAGAGAGAGGAGACACTCAAATGGTGTGAAACCCTACATATCATGTTTTAACCTTGCAGAGAAACAATTTCCGTGGATCTGTTTCTAAAGCTAGGAGAACGTTTTAACAAGTTGCATATATTCTGAAATCCACTTTTAAATAAAATCAGCATGAGCCATTTTTATTTGAGCATTTCCTTTAGTGAGATTTTTCAGTGAATTTGAATAACACATACAAGCCTCTTCTGACTAACGTTAAAACGGTGTTCACTTAAAAATGATAGTTTCAGTGTGAGGGGACAGTTCTCAATTGAAGGTTGTGGATGGCGATTCTGTACGGTGTTTCACACAGATGTGGAGAAAGGGGGGGAAAGACGAATGTGTGAATTCTTCTGCTCGCCTTGTCTGATTTGTCTCGGGTTTCTGAAATCTTAAAGGTTCAGAACGTTGTTAGAATCACAGATGAGTCACCTTGCCCTTGTCTGTATGCATTTTAAAAAATAAAAGTTTTGATTGACAATAAAAAGTATTGAAATTTTTAAAAGACGGTTTGACTTGCCTTCATTACCTGTAAATGTGACAATTTCTGGCTGACCTCCCGTGTTTTATAACCTAGAGGTCCCAAATTTCAGCTGTCCCTGTCTCAAGTCATGCAATCCTCTTTCCCCTGTCATCCCTGTGCTTGCTGGCCTACGTTGGCTCAACTGATTTCAAAATTCTTGTCTTTGTTTTTACCTTGCTCCATGGTCTTGCCACCTCCTTATCTTGTAATCTGCCCTACAAACCTCCCAAGATCCTCTAATTCTGGCCTCAATTATAATTGCTCCATTGAAGGTGACTTGTGTGTTCAACTGCCTAGGCCCAAAGCCTGCAATGCTCTCTCCTCCTTTAACACACTTTTCAAATCCTACATCTTTGACCCAACTTTTGATCATCTGTGCTCACATTATCTTCCATAGAATCCCTACAGCGTGAAAACAGGCCATTTGGCCCAACAAGTCCACACCGACCCTCAGAGCATCTCACCCAGACCTATCCCCATACCCTTTCCCTGTAACCCTACATTTCCCATGGCTAACACACCTAACCTGACATCCCTGGACACTATGCGACAATTCCCATAGCCAAGCCACCAAACCTACACATCTTTGGAATGCAGGAGGAAACCCACGCAGACACGGGGAGAATGTGCAAACTCCACACAGACAGTCACCCGAGGCTGGGATCGAACCTGGGTCCCTGGCGCTGTGAGGCTGCAGTGCTAACCACTGAACCACTATCTTGTGCAGCTCCATGTCACGGTACTCCTGCAAAGTGCTGGGAAATGTTTTATTACGTTAACTTAAGACTGAGATGAGGAGGAATTTCTTCTCTCAGAGGGTTGCGAGTCTTTAGAACTCATTGCCACTGTAGGGACAGAGTCCTTGTGTATATTTAAGGCCGAGATCGATATATTGTTGATCAGTCGGGGAATCGGGAGTTACGGGGAAAGGGCAGGAAAGTGAACATGAGGGATGCCAGATCAGCTGTGATCTGCTTGAATGATGGAGCAAGATTGAGGCGCCAAATGGCCTACTCTGACTCCTATTTCTTATGGTGAAAGATGCAAAACAAATATAAGTTGTTATTGTAGGTGTTTTTTTCCCAAGCATTTTTTCATTACTGTGTAGTTGGAATTCTCACTGTCTGCACCCCTAGAAATTGGATGCTAATCCAGTGCACAAAAAAAGATTAGGCGGTATCCCTAGAGTGACAGTGAAACTTGACATTGTGCTATGAGTTAAAAGGAAACATGTATGGCAAAAACATAGTGGTACCTCTTACAGGCACAAAGTAAAACCCTGCATTGGTGCCAATGGCAATGTCTGCATATGGTTGAAATTCACTGCTAACTCTGCTATCGTCTTTAAGTACCTGCAGCAGTGTGCTCATGTGCAGCCAACTTTTTGCAACATGCACAATGTTCTGTCTTTAAGTCTTTAATTGCGCAACATTTCCATCCACAGGAGTGGAATCCTAACAAGAAGGAGGCTGAAAATTTTGTGTCCCTTTTCAATCCTATTAATGGGATAAATAATGTCACTGAAGGTCTCTAGCTTGAGATAGCACTTATAAATTCACAGTAGTTAATTTTGAAGTTAGATGAGTCACAATCCTATTCAGAGATGGAGCAGTCTCGATGGGCCAAGTAGCCTGCTCCTGCTCCTAATTTTTATGTTCATGTGAAATTCTTCTGTGAAATACTTCAGGACTTTTCCACCACATCGGCCCTATAAAAATCCATGTTATTTGTTGTTGTTGAAGCGGAGTATTTAGATGTTATTTTCTCTTTTTTAAGAAAAAGTCTTTGAAAGGAATGAAGTGGAGTTTACTTCAGTTATGAGAGTTGTTGCAGATATAAGTATCTGTTGTTACCTTTGGATACCGGCCCAGCCGTCTAACTTTGTCTCCCACTTGTAAATGGCCTTGCAGCTGTTAAAGAGTGCAAGGAGTGAAGCTGCTCTTTCTTTGACTGTGCGTCAAGATGTTCCTTTAAATTGTGTTTCTGTGACGCTGCTAATTGAGTTCTCAACTAGAGTTACAGCTCGTGAGCAGCCTCTGGGCCAGAAGGTTATCGGCTCAAGCTGGGGCACTAGCAGCTGACTCTCCCAGGACAGCACCGAGGGAGCACTGCACTGTCACTTTCCTGAACCCGAGAGCAAGGTGCTGGGAATCTGAAAGGTGAGTAGAATGCATTGGATATGCTTAGCATTCCCACACCTCTAAAACTACAAAGCAATGAAAGGTCATCTCATTTCATTCTCGCAGATACTGCCTGAGAAGCTAAGCAGTATCTGCAAGGGTGAAAATCAGATGGCCTTACATTGCTTTGTAGGATCTAATGGGTACATATCAATTTGAAGTAAATGCAGAAGTGTGGGGAGGGCAGGTTAGTTCAGTTGGCCAGAGCCATATGCTTAATAAACACTGAGAGTGTGGCTTCAGTCCTCATTCCAGCTGAGGCTATCCCTGGGACTTGAGGCTTTTCCTTGTCCATAAGTGATATTATGAGTTGGGGATGTGAGCCAAGATTAGCAACTCTCGGATAACAAGGGTGCAATAGAGAGAGGGGGAGGTAGGGGAAGGGGAGGAAAGGTCTGTAATGGGTTATGATGTGGAGGTGCCGGTGTTGGACTGGGGTGGACAAGGTCAGGAGTCACACAGCACCAAGATATAGCCAACAGGTTTATTTGAAAACACAAGCTTTCAAAACACTGCTCCTTCATCACGTGAAGTGGCCATTCACTTCACCTGACAAAGGAGCAGCGCTTTGAAAGCTTGTGATTTCAAATAAACCTGTTGGACTGTAACCTGGAGTCATGTGACTTCTGACTGTAATGGATTATACAGTGGGAGCAATAAAGCAGACAATGGCACATATCGTCTGTGCGATTAGAGTTATAGTCTAATGGCGAGACTGCTAATATTAATAATGTTAGACGATGCCTGATTGTGTTGGGCTGGGACTTGATGGAAGAATTTACCTGTGAAATCTTGCTGTGCTATGTTTCTGTATGTAGTTTAATCAGTAAAAAATGTTACTAGTTTGCACTGGTAAAGTGTCCGGTCCTCATCTGTCTGTAGCTCCTGGAACCCGTTCCATGATATTCTAACCATTCAAGGGGCAAAGGGTATAGTAATTGGCCAAATAAAGACAGAAAAGATAGC